ACTGGGGGGAGAGGACAGGGCCAAAGCGGCAGTCCGGGGTCCGATGCGGCACGGGCCCACGTGGAGCCCGGAGCCGGCGCTGAATCACTGCTGGGCTGTGACCCGCTGCCGTGGCTATAAATGGGCTGCGACGCGGCCGGCAGAACGCGGTGACAGCCACACACCCCGAGGCCTGCAAGATGAGCTACACTTTGGACTCGCTGGGCAACCCGTCCGCCTACCGGCGGGTAACCGAGACCCGCTCCGGCTTCAGCCGCCTTAGCGGCTCCCCGTCCAGCGGCTTCCGCTCGCAGTCATGGTCCCGAAGCTCGCCCAGCACCGTGTCCTCCTCCTACAAGCGCAGCGCGCTGGGGCCGCGCCTCACCTACAGCTCTGCCATGCTCAGCTCCGCCGAGAGCAGCCTCGACTTCAGCCAATCCTCGTCCCTGCTCAACGGCGTCTCCGCGACGGGCGGCGACTACAAGCTGTCCCGCTCCAACGAGAAGGAGCAGCTGCAGGGGCTGAACGACCGCTTCGCGGGCTACATCGAGAAGGTGCACTACCTGGAGCAGCAGAACAAGGAGATCGAGGCGGAGATCCAGGCGCTGCGGCAGAAGCAGGCTTCGCACGCCCAGCTGGGCGACGCCTACGACCAGGAGATCCGTGAGCTGCGAGCCACACTCGAGATGGTGAATCACGAGAAGGCTCAGGTGCAGCTGGACTCGGACCACCTGGAGGAAGACATCCACCGGCTCAAGGAGCGCTTCGAGGAGGAAGCGCGGCTGCGCGACGACACCGAGGCGGCCATCCGCGCGCTGCGCAAAGACATCGAGGAGGCGTCGCTGGTGAAGGTGGAGCTGGACAAGAAGGTGCAGTCGCTGCAGGACGAGGTGGCCTTCCTGCGGAGCAATCACGAGGAAGAAGTGGCCGACCTGCTGGCCCAGATCCAGGCGTCACACATCACCGTGGAGCGCAAAGACTACCTGAAGACAGACATCTCGTCGGCGCTGAAGGAAATCCGCTCCCAGCTCGAGTGCCACTCCGACCAGAACATGCACCAGGCGGAAGAGTGGTTCAAGTGCCGCTACGCCAAGCTCACCGAGGCGGCCGAGCAGAACAAGGAGGCCATCCGCTCCGCCAAGGAAGAGATTGCCGAGTACCGGCGCCAGCTGCAGTCCAAGAGCATCGAGCTCGAGTCGGTGCGCGGCACCAAGGAGTCCCTGGAGCGGCAGCTCAGC